AATGAATGGACTACAAGTGCTGTAAGGTCACTACGCTTGTATTCCATTGAGAACTACAGATTCCTCTGCTGCAGTGGAAGATGGGACTCGCAGTTTTTCCATTCACAGATTCTATCAAAGGATCTGTAAATGGATAGTATGGCAGTATGGGCAGAGCCATGTAGAGCCACATCATTTTCAAAAAGGAGCAGCAGCCTGCAGGGAGAAGAACCCAGTGATTCAGGTAAGTGGGGGTGGGAATGTTACACCCTAAAAACACGCTCTGAAAGGTATACTCTGGCTTTGTCAGAAAAATGCCTAAAAAGCTTGTGTTTGTGCACATTTTTAATGCACTCACTGAACCAAGCATTTTGGTCCCATATACTTTATGCGTTTCCACACTTTTTTTTCAGGCACTTGCATTTAATAGTCTATGGGGCCAAAAATGCTCTATTCTGCTTCTGTACTACAAGGGGTGCATAAAAACGCTTCAACATACCTGGATTTGATTGTCTTTGTCTTTTTTAAATATGTCCCTGTGTGTGTACAGCAAATCTCTGTCCACCAGGAGGTTTATATGGACCATCCAGCATGTTTGGACAGTCTTCACAGCTTAACAGTACAGATACACTTAATGAATGGTCATACTTATGTACTCGCATGGGTCTCAAACTGAACCTGCACTTTGAATACGTAGAGCAAAGTAACAGGTTCATGTTTGGCAGCACCCCCTTCCCTTCACTTTACTGCAGCACCTTTAGCCACCCAAGCAAAGAGAAATGCCTTGTATTTCTGGATGTAGGGGGCATACCTCCCACCGGTCCTTCATTTGGAGATACTGTTCTTCATTTGGAATCAAATCCTTCTGTCCCTCTTTCCTCCTCAGTTGTCCCAGTTTTTGGCCTGATGTGCAGATATCTATAAAATGTTTTATAACCACACATTAATTTTTGCATACACATTAAAATCATAATTTTTAGCTAGAAAACTGCTTAAAACCCCCCAAACAATTATATATTTTCTAAAAGCAGAGGCCGTGTTGAATAAAGAAAATGCTAGTTGCTTTTATTTATGTTGCATGATACATAAAATACACAAACAAACAGAATAAAATACCCACATTTTTGATAAAATATAAAAGATGAGGTAGTGCCGGGTAAATAAATAGTAATACCAAACATGTCAAGCCTTAAAACTGTGCGTGAAATGGCAAAAAACAAAGGTATCTGAAACTGCCCACAGGTGACGTTTTAAAAACCTTTACTGCTTATCAATTTAAAGTTAAAGTGACACTAAACTCAGGAGTTAAATCTTAAAAATGCATTCAAGTACCCTAACTACTAGCAAAATAGTGTATCAGTCAGCTGTAGATCCTCAAATCATCTCTGAATTCATGCTGACACTTTCTTTCCCTCTGGAGTGTGGCTACTTTTGTTCCCCATGCTCCCGGTGTGTTGTAAAGTAGCCACCGCTCCAAGCTCACTCCTGTGATGGACTACAATCTCATTACAAATTAGTAAACTAAACGTGAGAGCCAAGCTGCAAATGACTGCAGCAGCCTTGATCTTGGTTTTAACCATTTTAGGACCTTTACACCCGGATACTCCGGACTCTGGCCACGATTGGAAAAACAAAGGGATCGGAGATCTTCCTGTGTGAAAGGTGCCTAACCTACAGCCCCAGGTCCATACCAAAGTATAAACCATCAGTTATGGTCCTGGAAGACGCTATCAATGGACTACAAATGTGGTAATGTCACCATGAGATCTACAATTTCCTCGGCTTTGGTGGCAGATGGGAAATTAGATTTGTAGTTTTTTTTCTTTCACGGATGCTGTGAATGGATCTGAGAATAAATGATGCGGCTGAGCAGATGGAGCCATGCATAGCCACACCAAATTAAAAATACACAGAGCCGGTGGGGAGAAGAACCCTGCAATTCAGGTGGGGGACGGGCTACAGCATGGCACTATTGGCACCACCTTAAACTCTCACCAGCTTTGTTTAAGCTCTGGCCACAGCCAGTAATAAATATATAAGTATATATATATATATATGTATATATAGAGAGAGAGAGATGTACACTGAGTGGCCAGATTATTATGACCACCCCATCAGTACTTCATTGGGCCACCTTTTGCCTTCAATGTCATAATAATCTGGCCACTCAGTGTATATACTGTATGTATATATATTATTCTCTGTTGATTTTGTCGGAAATTTAGAGCTGTACTTCTCCTGTGTTATCTCAAAGAGACAATGCAACCCTCCCTGTTCTTTTCTTGGACAACAAGTCAACCAGTTCCTATGATTTGGATAACAAGACAGTAGGAGTGGTTGAGTAGTGTAGCAAAAGACAGGGGGCAAGTATGACACCAGCCAGTCTACATGACAGGACTGACAACATTTTTGTGGACTGAGTGTTTTTCTGTATTGTGTGTTTACTATAACTACAATTATGAATGAACAGGAGGTGATGTAGATCACTTCCCATTCATTCATTATTGAGGATATAGTAAACATACTATGTCCTCAATTATATACAAACACTCAGTGATCACTGAGTGTTTGTACCTGGCTCTACATCCTGACAGCTGACACAGGAGGTTGAGCGAGCGGTGCAGGGAGGAGAGAGCAGCCTCCTGTGTCAGCGCTGGCTGTCTCGCCCACACCGCCGCTCTGTGACAGGAGGCTGAGCGATGTGGGAGGATAGACGCTGGCAGCTCACAGCGCTCTCCTCCTGCAGCGCTCCGCCGCCTGTGACAGTTTCTCTCCTCCTTGCTGGGACACAAAGCAGCGCCCAGCGGAGAGAAATCACAGATGCACCGCTGTATCAGCCAAAAAATAGCACTTTCGGCATTATGCCAAAAGTGCCATTTTTGGCCGATATATACAGTATCAGTGCACCCCTAGTTAATGCCGCTATATCAACAATCAATTTTGACCGTAGTGGCGAAAAAAAAATTGAAGGAGCAGGATAGAATTTTTTTCTCCAATGAAATTCAAACAGCAAATGTGGTTTTCCATAGGGAAAATCCATTCATTTCAAAATCCAATGTTAAAATCAAAAGAGAAGCCAAGTTTGTGATGGCATGATCGAATGTTCTGATGAGGTTTTCCACATAAAAGTTTGTGTGAAAATCTACCAGTGCATGGCCAGTTCAAGCCCTGAATGTTTTGCTGTGCATTTCCCAAAGTGCGATTATGCTCAACATGAATAATCTCATCATTTTCAATGGTGCGCGCTCTGTTACTTGTTGCTTGCAAGTTGAAAAAGACACATGAGCTTTTTTTCGGCAGAATTGTGTGTTTTGGCCCCATAGACTTTAATGGGAGTGCCTGCAAAAGATGCACGTAATGATTTCTGTGCCTCAGGCCCCTTTCACACGGGCTGATCAGGAGGGAATCCTTGCACAGATCTCCTTCTGATTGGAGCAGCAAAGATTGGACGTCACCGCTGTGACATCTGTGTCCATCCAGTTTTTTTCCACCAGCTTGTGATGGTGTAGAAAATGAAATGACCGGACCCCATCTTGGTTTATGGAGAATCAGATGTAAACAGACATTTTAGATTACTCACAATCCAGTCCATTGAAACAGAACTCTGTTCCCTTTGTCTTTCCGGGCCTGGCCAGAGTCGGAGGTAACTGAGTGTTCGTGGACACCTGTGTGTCTAAACCCAGTGTTCTATCACAGATTGTGACTAGGTTGGAATGTGTGACCGGTCACACATTGCAACGTAATCACACCCACTTTTTCGGCGGTGAAATATGCGACCGGTAATTTCAACGCTTTCTCAGCTGTTTCAGGGCAGATCGGCATCGAAAATCGTATGTGCAGGAGAACTGATCTGCCCTGGAACAGCTGATCGGTCCTGAAATGTCACTTCTATCCGACTCTGTGACTGCAATCTCACATTCCACAAAGTCAGATAGAAGTGACATTTCAGGACCGATCAGCTGTTCCAAAGCAGATCGCTTCTCCTGCACATACAATCTGCGATGCCGATCTTCCCTGGAACAGCTGAGAAAGCGTTGGAATTCTTTACCTTTTGCCGGTCACATATTCCGCCTGCGAAAAACTGGGCGGGATTACGGTAAAATGTGTGACCACGTCACCGGTCACACATTCTAACGCAGTCACAAACTTTGATAGAACACCGGCTGTCCATAGACTAGAATTGGGCATCGTGTCAGCTTGAAAAACTGACAGTCAGACTTGATCCGTATGAAAGGGGCCTAACAAACTTCTCCGTCACGCAAGGAAAGTTTTAAAATTGCCTAAAAACGCTCAAGTGCAAGTTAGTTGATTGCCAAGTTACCAAAACCCTGATTATCTCCAGATCAGACAGCATTTAGGAAAATCATAAAATGGGGAATCGCAGCCATTCTCCTGATCCCTATTATATAATGCTGAACTATCATGTTGTCTCAGCTCGGCATTCTTTGTGGCCAGTATTTGTATACAATGATTCTGTGTATTTGTGTTATTGTTCTTTTCAATAATAACAAAGAAGAAAGAGATTGAAGAGTATTTCTAATGAATCCATAAGATTTAATGTGCTGTTCCAGAGTCCAGGAGGAGCCAGGTTATTCTTGCCCTCCCTCACCACATGGCAGGTTGCTGAGATTTGGAATTTCCAGTGTGTACTTTGTTTCTTCTTGTCAGATCGCTGCGATCACACACACAGGGAAATGCCTGAACTCTCAGCTGACAGGGCTGGGAAATCTGCACACAGCACAGAGAAGAAGAAGAAGGAGTGGTGATGGCTTCAAGGTGCCGCATTTCCTGGTAGATCAGCCGGCTGCCTGCTGTGACTCGGGTCTGCACTGACTTCCTTCCACAGACCAGACATTGGAGGTGTTCACACACAGGTCTCATTCCATGAGACCCCTTTACACGTGTGCTGGAGTCCGAGCCACGCCCACACGCTGCTCAGGGAGGGAAGGAGGGGTTCCCTGTGCTGGGTGACACTGACGTTGGGGTGTCTGAAAGTTTACTCAGAGGCGGAAGACGGAGCACGGCATGGATGAGCAGAGCCCCCTGATCATCTACCCGCTGAGCACAGAGGAACACCCCAATAATGGAGCCGCCACCCGCAAGGACAGTGCCCATCGATCAGGCACCAAAAAGCTGTCCACCTTCTTGGGGGTGGTGGTGCCCACCCTGCTTGCCATGTTCAGTGTGGTCCTCTTTCTCCGGATCGGTAAGTCATTTCCTTCTCATACAATGACTCCAGATGACACAAGAGAACCTGTCATGATGTCAGCTGTCATTGATTTGGGATAGATTTCATTGGAGGGGAATGTATCAGATAGAATCTAGAGCAGTTGCCCATAGTTACCAATCAGCTTCTATCTTCAGTTTCTCCTGTTAAGCATTGAAAATGAAAGAGAGAAGCTGATTAGTTACTACGGGCAACTGTTCCAGATTCTTTCTGCTCCAGTTTTGATAAACTCCTCTGATTGGAGGGAATTTATCATAACTGGAGCACACAGAATCTAGAGTAGTTGCCTATGGGAACCAATAAGCTTCTCTCTTTCATTTTCAATGCTTAACTGAATAGACTGAACTGAGAAGCTGATTGGTTGCCATAGACATATTCTGTCTGCTCCACTTTTGATAAATCCCATTCCTTGTTTGTCCACTTTGAATTCCTATAAGAATTATCCTGTACACTGTCACTTTTTATTGGACGTTGAAGGCTAGGTTTACCATGTTTTATGTTAAATCTATATTCAGGGTGTACCATGAAACATGATCACATGGTCACATCGCAGCCCCCTTCCCCCACTGCTGCCCCCAATCATTGATTGGAGAAACTGCAGGTCCCATCGGGACAGAGGGACTTGTAGTTCTCAATGGAATACATGTCTGGTGACCTCACTGCACTTTTTAGTCCATTTATTCTTCCTCCCGTCCCTGTTACTGAATGTCCAGACTGAGGTACAGACATGAACAGGAGGAGCCAGAGCATTTCAATGCTTTACCGCCCATTCCCACCAAAAACGCATAAAACACGCATGTGAAACGCACAGGAGTCCCTATGGTTTTAGCTCTTTGAGGTGGCTGGATTGGGGGTTCCTAGAACTAGTTGAGAGCATGTTATCATGGGGGGTAAGCATGTTAAGGGGGGCGGATTGGCTTACCTCTGTCCAGAGTCCTGCCTAGCTCACTGATGCCACTGGTTGCCATGATCTGGACGCTGGCTCCTAGCAACCTGGGATGCCCTGGCCGCAAAGGCCACAAGACCTTAAGGCTGGGTTCACACCTGGGCCACAGTGTTTTAGCGCGTTCCTACGCACATTTTTGCAAATTTTTACGCGTGGTTTATGTGCATAAATCAATTCACACGTTTTTGTGAGCAGATTCTAGCTCATTCAACAAATGCGTGTTTTCAAGTGCTCCCTATTGAGTCTATGGGGACAAAACAAGCTGTAATACGCCCATAAAAAGCTCTTGTACTTTTTCCAGCGACCGGCGTTTTGCTTATTGCGACAAAACGCTCAAATATGAGCCTGGCCATAGAAATGAATTAGATTTTTTGGGGGGCATTTTTGCGTGTGTTATTTAGGGCAGAAAAAGTGTTACAAAACGCTCAGTGTGAACCAGGCCTAAGAGATGCCCCCTGGGGCAACCGCCTCGTTGTAGGGACAGTGCTGAAAACGCACGTCCATTTACATACGTGTACAGGCATGTACGTGATCTACACCATTGAAAACCCACAATAGTTTGTATATATATGTTTGTAATGTGCTAACAAACACATGAAAGTGCATTGGGTGATAATGGGCCCTCACTGGCCGCATGCTAAATATAACATGCACATTTGTTTTCTTTTATGAAGAAGTGCGTTTCTTTTTTATTTTTGAAGGTGAACTTTGTCTTTAAAGTGTACCTGTCTGTGCGGGTTCTCATTTATCCCTCCATATTTATTGTATGCTTGATGGTGAAGACGTTTCATAGCTTATCCAACAATTTGTTACCAGTTATACAGTAAGGTGCACACGAAATGGGCTTTGAACAGTAAAACAGTAGAAAGGCATCATGGCACACTCACAAAACCAGCATGTAAAACAACATGTCTCACCACTAAGGATAATGACAGAGGTTTGGATACACGTCTTCAGCCGAGGATGTGTAAGCCGCACTGCCGCGCCAAGGCACCTCTTATAGTGCGGTCCTAACTCTAAACTATGAGAGTCTCCATCTTGGTGAAACATGTCAGAATTGAAGAAGTGGCTTGGATGAGCGATGAAACAGGAACAGAACAAGTCCAGTTGAATGTGACTAACTACTAACAGTTAAAGTGTTTCTGGAGACCACATTTTACCAGACAGGAAATGCACCAGGGAATCAGACAACAATAAAAAGCTGACAGAGATTCTAGACATCCCCTACCTAACATAAAAACCTTCCTACTTCTAGCTGTGTTGCTGTTAGAGAAATGTTCCCTCACTTCCTGTCCTGGGGACAGACAGGAAGTGAAGGAATCTCTTCAGCAGAGCCTTTAATGGCATTAAAAACTGTCAGGAGTTCCTTCCATGCTCCATCCAAAAATAAAAAATAACCCTTGCAGTGAGGCTACCCCTGCACTGCAAGGGTTAAGTGCTCGTTTTGGTCAACGGGTGAAAACAAAGAAGATATACTCGCCTGTTTCTGTGAAGGTTCTCATTCATCTAAGTCATGGTATATCTGTAAAAAATAAGTCAAGGCAACTGGACTTGCTGTATTTTTCTTGAAGATTTTTTCACTGGACATCCAACCAGCTTTCTCAATTCAAGTCATTTTTTACAGATATACTCACCTGATTCTCAGCCCTGCGGCAGTGACCGCTTACCTCTTACCCCCTCCTCTCTGGCTGTGGTATGTCCCTCAGCGTCCTCACATCTAATTGACCTGCATTAGACATGATGACGTCACGGATTCTTAGACCTCCAGACAGGGCCGGATTTACTCTCTCTGCTGCCCCATGGCCAGGTTCCTCAATGCGCCCCTGCACCCGCCAATAAGGACCCCCCATGGAGAATGGAACACCTGCAGGCTGTATACAAAACAAGTGGCGGCTTCCCTGCTGTACATTTAGCTCTGCTTGCCCAAAGCAGGGCTAAATGTAGAAAACAACTACCCGTCCGATGCCCGGAACTGCATGTCCCTGGCATCGGGAGATAGGAATTTCACACCCCTGCTGCCCCGAGGCCGGGCCTTGGTTGGCCTTGTGGGAAATCCGGCCCTGCCGCCAGAGCCCGGGGAGGAAAAGGCTGCAAGGACCGGTCTAGGAGCGGGGATCGGGTGGGTATATCTTCTTTATTTTCATCCCTAGACCAAAATGAGCAGTTGGCTGCTAATCCAACGCTGCAAATGGTCCTTCTCTGGCTGCTACCCTACCACCCCCTTGATGTCATTGCTGTTCTACCCATATCATGCATGCAATGATTTGGGCAGCCAAAAAAGAACCCCACCGGATGTAAACAAAGTAAGAGAGCAGACTGGGTGCAGGAGGATCACATGATGGCAGCTTTTGGTAAGTAAAATGGACATTTAGATAGTTGGCGATGTCACCATGTTTCATGTCACACCCTAAATAGGGCTGCAATATAAAACACAGTCTAAAAGGTAAAGTTAGCCTTTGAGGGCCCAGTCACATCATCTAGAATGCGTTCCAGTGCGTTCAGCCTCTGGAACGCAACTCGGCCGGCTCACTATGTTTTGGGGCATGAGGGGGCGTGGCAGTGCATTGAACTCAATGGCACTGCAGCCCCCGCCCCCTCCCCCCCCGCTTGCAGTGCGATTGCAGGCACCCGAACCCGTGGCACATTAGTGCCTGCGTTCCGGTCCAGTGCAATCTGCAAAAAATAGTGCATGCGGATTTATTAACATTAAAGAAGAACTCCCGGCAGAAATAATCTTAACCCTTGCAGTTGGGATTCCCCCACACTGGAAGGGTTAAATGCCTGTTTTTTGTTGGGTGTAAAATAAAAAAGTTATACTCGCCTGAATTGCGAACCCATCTGGCTGCTGGACAGCTCCCCGCAGCCTCTCTTCTTATGCTGCGGGGATGTCCCTCAGCATCCTCACAGCCAATACACTGGGTTATGATAACCCACAGGTTCTCACAGGAGGAGAGAGGCTGCAGGGACCGCTCTAACAGTCAGGTGGCTGCAAGGTTCAGGTAAATATAACTTTTCTATTTTACACCCAAGATGAAAACGAGCAGTTAACCCTTGCAGGATGCGGGTGCCCCCACTTCAAGAGTTAAGATTATTTCTGCCCTGAATTCTTCTTTCTGGAGTTCTGTGTTTTATATTACAGCCATATTTAGGGTATAACAGGAAACATGGTCACATTGCCAACTGTCTAAATGCCCATTTTACTTACCGAAAGCTGCCATCGTGTGATCTTCTACTCTCTTCCTTTGTTTTCCTTTGTGGAGAAATGGTGAATCAAACCAAGGCTGCCCACCACAGATTATTTTACGCCTTGGCTACAACCTCTAGGTGGTCGGTTGCCTCGATCTGTTCTGCTGCTTTTTCACTTAAAGTGACATTAAACCCTCAGATTTTTTTACATAAACTGTAATGTGTGCCTTACTGTAATCCATGGTTGTTTCCCTTCTCTTTGCTGCTCTTCCTTTTAAATCCTCATGTCTTGTCATGCTTGGGGAGAACTTCCCTTTGCAGCTGAGTGCCGCTTCCTGTAGTGCTGGCTCAGGTTGTGAACCTGCACACAGACACCATATATCCATTCCAGAGACAAGGCAGTCTGCTGCAAAACAGACGTTCTCCCCAAGCATGAGAACAGATACAGATTTAAAAGGAAGAGCAGCAAAGAGAAGGGCAACTACCATGGATTACAGTAAGGCACACATTACAGTATTGGTTTATGTTAAAAAATCTGAGGGTTTAATGTCACTTCAAAGTCTGGTTGCAAGTGGTTGACATTGTTTGAAGATTGCCATGGCCATCATATGACAAGCCAAATGCTGTCTATGGATGTGACCATTCCAGAAGTTTTCCTGGCTTGTTCGCTGTCCTATGAGTGTAAAAATCTGATTTTATCTGATCACATTTGCTTAGTTGCCGTGTAATCCATGCAAAGGAGTTTTCAGGTGCTATATGACTGCTAGGTTTGTAGCCTACATTTCCTCTCTTGGTCACTCACGACTACAGAAGTTGGCCACCACAATTGTTCCTGTTTTCTTTTTAT